GGCAGTTCCCACTCTGTGGTCCGCCGCCTCAGGCGGCGCCCGCCGTCGCGGCCTCGCTCCCGTGCCCCCCGCCGCCGTGCCTGCGGGCGGACCGCCCCGCCGACGGGGCCGTGGTTGGGGGGCCCCCGAGCCCCGCGTCCGGGCAGCACCGCAAGGAGCGCCTCGACCAGTCCGCGGCAGTGCTGGCGGCGACCTGGTTCACCGCGCCGTCCATGCAGGCGCCTGCTCGGACGGCCCTGGGGCACCAGGAGGGCGTCGAGGCCTCGGCGCTGCCGTCGTCGTCGCGGCTGGTGAGGGCTGCCACCTGCTTGTCCACATGCCCGCGCCCTTGGAAGAGCGAAGGCGGCGCCAGCGTCGCACAGGGTGCGCACGGGCGGACGCCCGCGGCGCTGCAGGCGGACGCCGGGTCTGGTGGCGGCCGTCGGCCGGGCGGCTGGGAGGCCCAGCGCGAGAACGCCGAGCGGGTGCTGGACCGCCACCAGGCGGCGAGGCAGGGCGCTTATCCGACCAAGGGCTCGAGGCTACTTCCAGTGGGCGCGCCCCCCTCTTGGCACATTCGCCCCGCGGCCGCCGCGCGGGCAAGGCCTGCGGAGGCCCGGCTGGGTCCCGCGCCACAGCGCACGCCTGTGGGCAGGCCCGGCAGTGCCACTGCAGCGCAGGGTGTCATGCGGCCGCAGACCCTGGACGCTCCGCGCGAGATCAACTGGCGGCCCACCTTGCGGCATCGTGCCCACTAAACCAGCGCAATGGACCTGAGCTTTCAGCTCTCGGACGCCGCCGAGTTGAACTAGCTCTGAGCCCACCGTACTAGAGGCCCTCGGCCCATCTCGCCACCTCGCCCGAGTCGCGGGCACGAGGCCTCTTGGGGTAGCTTTGAGGCTTCTTGGGAGGCCTCTTGGGGGTCTCTTGAAGGCCTTCTGGGTGCCTCCTGGGGTCTCTTGGGGCCCTGATGGGCCTGCTGGTGGTCTCGGGGGCAATCTGGGGGTGGCGGGCTCAACATTCTAGTGCGGGTTCTCTTTCGGGCCCGTCTTGGGGTCATCTTTGGGGCCTCTTCGTTTAACGGGCGAAGAACGGTATAACATAAATTTTGTGGCCGTCGGGGGCGCCTGCCCCTGCGCGGCTGGAAAGTTTATACCCTTACGGTGGCACCGTAGGGGTATAAACTTTCCAGCCGCCCAGGGGCAGGCGCCCCCGACGGCGGACAGTTTATTTTGTACCGTTCTTCGCTCGCTGATTCGTGTCTTCTTGGGGATCGGTCTTGGGGTGATCGTGGAAGTCTCTTTGGCTGTTGTGGGTTCTCGTCAGACCGAACAGCCGAGAATCTCAACTCATGCAACCACTACTTGATGTCTAAAAGTTTTGGGCATCTTGTGCCAACATCGTGTCCATGGCCTCGGGAAAAATCACGCGACGAGTCCAACAACTCCAGGCAGTTGTAGGACTGCGACTCTTGAGGGAGAACTGCGTTACTCAGTTTTGAGAACTCGAAGGGGCTTGAGGACACTCCTCTCAGTGCCGACGGTATGGTGGCCGATGTACTCCAGCTGCAGCCGATTCGTCTGGCCGATCCGTTCTGCACCCTTCGGCTTGCTTTCGCTGGGCCCCTCCATCTTCCAGCTGTGCGATGCCGCTGTAAGCATACCAGGTGTTTGCTGATGGCTGGCCAGTTTTTTGCTTTGCGTCTACGCCGTCGTGAGCGGTGTTGCGCAGGGCTTGGTGTCTTTCTGAAGCGCTGTCCACGAGCAGGAATCCGCTCGACACCTATGCGATACGTCGATGAACCACACATTGAATCCGGATCGACTGCCCTTGCTTTCTTTGCTGGTTGATGTGGTAGAGACTGTTTTTGCACGCCGCCGCATCCCGCCTCTAATTAAATCTGCTCTTTAGCCGTCCCTTCACTGCGGACGCTGTTAAGCCCGTGTTGTGCGGATTTGCCGCGCGAGTGGGGCAAGCGCGGCCAGCAAGCAGTTGGCTCGTGCCATTTCAAAACGGAGGGCGCTCTCGACGCATGGCCGTCCATTTTTTGGGGGGGGGCGGGCGAGCGGAATGCCACGCCACCTGTGAGCAAGATCGACAGACTTGTGGGTCTTGATGGCTCGACTGTGCTCTTACACATTCGTTCGGGTTGCTCCCATCGCGAGTTCGAGCCAGCTCGATGTGCTGCCCGCCTCCATCGAGGCGCCCCGCCCCGCCACTGGGCGGGGTGGGCTGGCACTCGGTGGAGCTGGAGAGGCCGCGCTCGGGGTCCCGGGGCGGGTGCGCGACTGGCCCCAGCAGCCCCCCGCGTGGGAAAGGGCCCTGGCGGGCCGACGGCGGCGCCGGGCCAGCAGGCCGAGGCGGGGCGCGCCGCCGCCGAAGGCCCGGGTGCCGCCCCCGGGGAGGAGCCGGTCGGCGGAGGGGCTCGCTCTCCGGACGGAGGCGAGGCGCCTGGAGGGCTCGGAAGGGGGCGCCGAGCCACGGGAGGCCCGCGGATCCCGGGCAGGAGGCTCTCGGACAGAAGCGGTCCGAGACGCCAGGCGCTCGGTCGCTCGGCCTGCCGCAGTCGGCTCGGGGCGCTGCTTTTTTTCTCGGGCCGCCTCCGGCGGCCCCGCGGAGGGGCTCGCTCTCCGCACGGAGGCGAGGCTCCTCGAAGGCTCGGAGGGCGGCGAGCCACGGGAGGCCCGCCGAGCTCGGGCCAGGGGGCTCTCGGGCAAGAAGCGGTCCGAGGCGCCGGGCGCTCGGACCAATCGGCCTGCCGCAGTCGGCTCGGAGAGCTGTTTTTTTTTTGTTTTTCTTCCTCGGGCCGCCTCTGGCGGCCCCCAAGCGGCGGAGCCGCGGGCTCTCCCCCTCTCGCAGCTCGGGGGGGCTGTCTGGCAGGGCGCTCCGTCCCGGGGGGGGGGGGGCTTCGGGGCCGTCCGGGGGTCCTCGTCTGCACTTCCTGCCCCGAGTGTCGGTTCCTGGTGCGCTCGGAGCCCGACGCTGCCTGTGGTTTTGCTCGCCTCCGCCTGTCTCTCGTGGTTTTGTTGTTCTCTCTCTCTCTCTCTCTCTTTCTTTCTTTCTTTCTTTATTTCTTTCTTTCTTTCTCTCTCTCTCTCTCCATCTCTCTCTATATCTTTCTCTCTCCCTCTCTCTCTCTCTCTGTCTCTCTTCGTAAATCTCTGTATTGCTTCCTCTCCCTCTCTCTCTGTCGCTCCTCCTTCTCTCTCTCTCATTTGTCCGTTCCTGCACCTGCTGAGTCTTCCAACGGCACTGCTGGCCCGGTTGTTCTTATTTCCAGATCGCCACAGTCGGATGGAGAGCAGCACCACCAATTTCAATGTGCGCACTTCGCCCGCCAACCATTTCCGCTTTGCCTGCTCGGTTTGGTGGTGGCGACTCGAGGGCGGGCGCAGGGAACATACATTAGAGTCGAAGTTCAGTACCCCCACAAACAGCATTTTTAGAACGCATGCTGGTTTCCAATCGCGTTTGCCCATCTATACCATGCGGGAAACCATGCCGTTGATGGCATGTACAGAGGTGTTGTATCAGGTTGTGTGCCACATCGTTTGTAATGCGCCCGCTGAAGGTCCGCGGGCCCACGTCTTTTTTATGTGTTCTCTTCTCTCTCTATCCTTCTCTCTTTCATTCCTTGTTTTGTTCCTCTTTCTCTCTCTTCCTCTATCTCTCTCTCTGTCTCTGCTTTTCTTCTCCCTCCTCTCTCTTTCTACTGCCCATCTTCTCCATTCAGTGCCCTTTTCTGTTCCGTCCCCCCAGTGGCGCTGCACCTCTGCGCTTCCCCTGCACCCGCTCCAGGAGGGGGCCTCCCCCCAACCTGGCCCTCGTCAGGCCCGCACGCCTGTCCGCAGAGCAGGCTCGCTCGTTCGTTCCACCTCCAGTTCCTCTTAGCTCCTGCCCCTCGTTTCTCTACCATTCCCCTCTTTCGGCTGTCCTCCCGTCTCTCCATCCGCTCTCCCCCTTCCCGTCCTTCGCCCACCATCAGCTTGCTTCTCTTCACTTCTCCCCTCGCCCTCTTGATACTGTTCTTGTGCAGGCTCCAGGGATGACGCGTCTTATCCCCCCAGGACCCCCTCCGTAACGATAGCGCTTGGGAGCCAGCCGCAGGCGTGAATCCTTGCAGCTTCCATAGGGGTCTTTTACGGATCCTCATGGGGAGGAGGAGGAGGAGGAGGAGGAGGAGGAGGAGGAGGAGGAGGAGGGGGTGGAGGAGAAGGTGAGGAGGAGGAGGAGGAGGAGGAGGACGACCGATGTGGCGCGGAGGCCCCCGAAGATACACAGGCGTTGTTGCCGTTGTCCTCGTCCACGGCGTCGTCGTCGGCGTCGTCTTCGCAGCATTCCTCCTCTTGTCTCCATTGCCTTCTTCACTCTGTCCCTCTGCGCTTCACGCAGGGGCAGCAGACGGGGGGAGGGAGTTGGGAGCACGGGAGGGCGAGGGAGGCGGGGCTGGTCCGGAGCGACCTGTTTGATCACACTTAGGTTGTCGGTTCGTGCGCGCAGGCGCTGTAGTGTGCGGCCACGGTGTGGTGCACGCGGCTGCTGTGATGTGCGCAGGCGCCGCGGTGTACAAAAACGATTCAGTGCACGCGTGCACTGTGGTGTGCAACGGCGCCGTTGTGCACGCGGGTGCTGGTGCACAGACGCGCAATGGTGTGCACGGGCGATGTGGCGCCATGGTTCGCGCAGGTGTTGGGGTTAACGGAGGCACTCTGGTGAGCACAGGCGCCGTGGTACACGCAGGCGCTGTCGTAGACACACCTCCCGTGGTGCACACAGGCGGTTGTTGCGCTGGTGCTGCGTGCGCGCCTTCGGGGCTGCACGTCGGCCGCCGTTACGCCCCCCCCCCCCCCCGCCCCCCCCCCCCCCCCCTCCGCGGATAACACGCGTTAGCGCCAATGGATACACGAACTCTTTCTCCCCCTTCCCTTCGTTTTCGCCCCTCCTCCCCCCTCCTGTTTTCTTCTTTTCCGTCCTCTCTCTTCCAGCGTCGCTCCCGTCCTCCCCCGCTCGACGGCGCCCAGGCCGACCTAGACGACCTTACGCTCCTGGCCAGCTGTGAAGGACCTGGCCACGCTGCTTCTTCTTGTGTGTAGGTCCGCTTCATCCAACCGCTCGCCCTCCCCCGCCTCCCGTGGGCGACTCGCATTGCGTGTGTGACTCCTGCAATCTATTTGGAGCGATGGAGCAACTCCCCCAAGCGGTTGTCTTTCACCGCGGCCACCACGGGTGTTTGAGGTAGCATCTCTGGAGAGTCCCCCCATCACTGTCTGCGCACACACGCACATACGCACCTATGAACAATTCTCGTTTACCCAGCCACACACATATATATACATATTCACATACCTATATATAAATATAAATTGTGGTAAGGAATAGGGGTTGCGATTTCAAAGCCAGCCGATAGGACGATAGGACGATAAGACGATACACGACGATACAAATTGATAATACTATAAGACTATGAGACGGTACAGGGCCTCACCAGACGATAATACGATACTGCGATCAGATGGTATAGGGCCTCGCCAGACGATAAGACGATACTACTTATCGTCTTATCGTCTAACCGTCTTACAATTCAAATCTATAGTTATCACCCACAGTCACTCACGACGACGACGCCGCCGACGACGACGGCCGCGACGACAAAGACAACGATGACGATTCCAGCTGAAGCTGCCTCCATAAAGCGGGAAGTCGTCCCCATAAAGAGGGATATTCCGACAGGGCTGGGACCATGACGACGACCGCGACGACGACCACGACCGCGACCATGACGATGATGACGGCCGCGACGACGACGACGATTCCAGCAGAACCTGGTTCCATAAAGCGGTAACCCGTCCCCATAAACAGGGATATTCCGACAAGGCGGTGACCATGACGACGACCACGACGACGACGGCCCAAGACAGCGCCATCAAGGGCCCCAAGACTTATCGTCTTATCGTCTCATCGTGTTACCGTCTCATCTCCCAAAGCTATACTTATCACCCAGGGGTCATAGCTATGCTGTGCTGGGGTCATCCGACCCCGACTGTCGCCGACCCCGACGTCGGCGACAGTCGGGGTCGGCGTCGTCGTCGTTGTCGTTGCCGTTGTCGTCGTCGGCGTCGTCGCGGTCGTCGCTGTCGTTGCCGTCGTTGTCGTTGCCGTCGTTGTCGTCGTCGTCGACGCCGTCGTCGCGGATTTTCTGGCGACGGCGCCGCGGCCAGGAGTGCCAGAAAATCTGTCTCTGCTTGTCGCGTCCCTTTGCAGCTGGAGCCCGCGGGCAGAAACACCTTCCTCTTCCTCGTCCACCCCGAGTCCGGGCCCAGCCGCCGACAGAGCGATGGCAAAGTCCCGCATCGTTCCCACGGGGTGACGACGACGACGAGGACGACGAGGACGACGATGCTGACGACGACGACGACACTAGCAACGACGACGACGACGTTAGCGATGATTACGACGACAACGAAAACGACGACGACAACAACGACGGCGACGACGACGGCCGAGGCGGCGGCGGCGGCTGCGGGGACGACGGAGACGACGACGAAAGCGCCCGCGGACGGATGGCGCTTGGCCTTGCCTCCGCTCTGATCGGGGCTATCCCGGACGTTGTCGTTGTCGTCGTCGTCGTCGCCGTTGTCGTCGTCGGATCGGAGGTTGTCCGTCGTTTTTGTCGACGCCGCCGCCGTCCCCGCCGCCGCCGCCGCCCCCTTCGCTTCGAGGTGCATGGATCGCGGTTCGAGGATCGAGGCTTTAGAAAGTTTTGGCCTTTTGCAGGCCACCAGAGCCTTCCAGAGGCCCCCAGTAGACACTTCGTGTAAGTACTGAGTGTGCGTGGGTAAAGGCTCGGAGGAGGAGGAGGTCGTCGTCGTCGTCGTCCTCGTCGCCCCAGGCTCGTCCGACCCGCCCGCCGCCTCGGTTCGGGCGGCGGAGGAGGAGGAGGAGGAGGAGGAGGAGGAGGAGGAGGAGGAGGAGCAGCAGGAGGACAAGGAGGAGGCGGAGGAGGAGGAGGAAGAGGAGGACAAGGAGGAGGAGGAGGAGGAGAAGGAGGGGAAAGAGGGCGAGGAGGCAGGGGGAATGAAAGAGACGCCCGGGGAGGGCGGAGGAGACCGGAGGAAAATGAGGAGGGGGAGGAATAGGGTGAGGAGGAGGAGGAGGAGGAGGAGGAGAAGGGGGCCCGTTTCGCGTGAGACATCCTCGATGTCTGGGCTCCCATATGCCACGACTTGTAATGATATGAGCAGTCTCGCCAGGGACATCCTCGCCACTCCGGTTTCCGATATGCGTTTCTCGCAGAGTTCTCGCCAGCTTCGCGTGAGACATCCTCGGCACCCTGGGGTCCGCTATGTTTTGACTTGAGGTGATCTGGCCACCTTCGCCTGAAACATCCTCGCAATTCTGGGTTCCGAGATGTCCTTCCCCGTGGTGGTCCGGCCGCTTTCGCTTGTGACATCCTCGCAACTCTCGGTTCTGACGCGCTCTGAGACGAGGTGGTCAGGCCACTCTCGCCTGAGACGTCCTCGCTACCGTCGCCATCGTCATCGCCCTCGTGGCCGTCATTGTCATCGTCACCAGGCGATAAGACGACGGGGCGATAATCTGATCTTGCCGTCTTATCGTCTTATCGTCTGGTGTGGCCCTATCTCGTCTCATCGTCTTATCGTCTGGTGAGTCACTACGTCGTCTTATCGTCTTAGCGTGCTAGCGTCTGCTGCCCTTTTATTGCCTTATCGTTTTGTCGCCTTATCGTGTGATGCCGTCTCATCGTCATATTTGATTATCGTCTGCGTGAGGGTCAAACCGACGATCCGCACCATACTGTTTGTATAAGGTATGTATAGGCCAGCGTGTGTTTTTGCACACCAGACGTCATTAGACACATGCGTTCAGGTAACACACGCAAGCCACACACATGTATGGACATATCCGCATATGCGTATCTATTTGCCCGTCTACATCCCCGTCTATCTGAACACCCTAGTCTGCGCCCCTGTCTCTACCCCCAGCTGCGCCTATATGTCATGGTGCCAACATCGCAGAGTGAATTGCGTTAGAAAAACCATGGGGTGGGCCTGGATTGTCCTGGAGAGTTTCGCTCCAGATTTCTAAGTGAGTTTCGTGCGGACATTTGTGATCAGGAATGAAGATTGCAGAATTTTCGCGTGATATTCACTTCGTTTTTCGCTCGCCGTTTCGGGATTCTGCGTGGACAGGAATCCATGCACAAATCTGCTGCAGCACGTCTGCAAGGTCGGTGCAATGGTATATGCCATGCGCCCATATGCCATCCGTCACTCTGTGTCCTCACCTCTCCACCCGTGCCTCATCCTCCGTGTCCACCTCCGCGCCTCTCTTTCGGCCTGGGGCCGCGGCCCCGGGCTCGGTTGGGCTAGGTGTCCCCCCGGCCATTGTGGACCCTCTTGGGGCAACACTTGGGGGAGAGGGAGAGAGAAAGGAGGAGAGGGAGGACGTGCGCGACCTGGGGCCCCGGACCCAGTACCGTCATCGGATAGGGAAGGCCTCGGCCCATTTTGCCACCGTGCCTGGGTTGCAGGTCATAGGCCCCTTGGATGCCTGTGGATCTCCTGGGAGGCCTCCTCGGAAGCCTCTTGGATTCGGCTGTGTTGTCTTGGGCCTCTCGGGGGCGTTTTGGGGGATTCCCGTGGTTTGATTTGGGCCTCTTGGCTTTTTCGGGGGGCGGGTGCGCGAGGCGACCAAGGATCTTTCAGGGCGAGCATTGTTCGTGGACGAGCGGTGCAGGCACGTACTGCGCCGACGGGGAGAGCACGTGAGCGAATCGAGGAACCCTGCTGGGCCGGAGGTTCCCCCTTCGGCGCGAGCGGCAATTACCTTGCGAGTCAATTTCGCTCTCGCGCTGGGCTGGGCTGAGCCCTCACACTTCGTCCCTGTTAGCCAGGGGCTCCGTTGTTCTTACAAGCGCTGGGGCGTTTTTCCCCCTTTTGGAACTTTCTTGACTGCGGCGGACCAAAACAGAAGCAAGATGAAAAACAACGATTCGTGTGCGGGCAACAACAAAGGACAGAACGCGGAATGCCAAAACGGAAAGAAACATCATGTCGATACAATTGTTCAATAATGATCGGCGATGGTGGGGTAGTTGAACAAGTATAGAAAAAAGGTTCGAACAATGAAACACACGTCTTGGCAAATTACAAGCTGATTTCGGACTCGAGAACTGAAAGAAAGCGGTCGCCGAATACAATGTAAAAACAGAGTTCGAAGTTGAATAAGCACAGCGGTTCGAGCATCAGCACAACGAACAAAAACACCGATCTTGTTTACCAGAACACCCCCAGCGCGAGGGGGGGATGGGGCAAGGGGGGAGGATGTGTCGAACGCCAAACGCCCATCGATCGCCGATATGGGGCCCAACAACCCATCCCGCCCAGGAATGTGTGGTTTTGCTCTCTGGGGCCTATCGCTGGTCTGTCGGTGATGCATCGTCGATTCCAAGGAGATGTTTCCCTCCCTGAGCCGGCTGCCTCTGCGTTCCGTCCTTGTCAAGCCATGTCTCCTTCTATCCTGTGCATGGGTCAGTGGCCATTTTCTCTTCGACCCGAGTCTGCGCCCATTGCGTGTACTCCGTTGTGCCCGTCGCTCTTGGTTTCGATCCTCTTTCCCTCAACCCCTCTGCGGATTCTGTGCGCACAGCACGCTGCTCCTTGTTGTCCAGGCCACGGGTCGCTATGCTCCCCTCTGGCGTGTCGGCCGTGCGGTGTTCCAGGGCTGCCTGGTTGAATTTTTACGCAGTTCCTGGTCCCTGGGCTTTGAGCGTTTTGTTTGGCGTCTTGTTGTCTCCACGACTCCAGACTCCCAGGTGTCGAGAAGTAAAGTAATCAAGGTTCCCACCACCAAACACATGCAATAGATAACCAACCCGTACAACCAACCAGCAGAGAACAATCAACACAAGCAGGCACGCAGATTCGCCTAAATGTGCGCATGCAGCTTCAAACAAAAACGGGATGTCCAGCAGACGTAAGCACGGACGCATGCAAGATAACTCACAGGAGTGATGCTAATCCAGAAGCCGCATTCAAG